GGCTTGGGTTCTCTGCTGTTGTGGAGATCAGAAACTTTTATCAATCCTTTTGGATCAGTGTTTGGGCCTGAACCCCATCAGGGGTATGTGCCTTGATGAAACAGAGATGAAGTGGGCAGTGGTGCAGAGGGGATGGCCAGTATGAGCAGAGCAGAAAAGAAAAGCGAAGTATAATCTCTTTTATTTATTATTTAACTGAAAGGTATTTTTCGCCTATGACTACAGCAAACCACATTTCTTTGGTGCAAGAAGCCTTAGCTGAGCAGGTAGGAGCTCTAACCTCTTGCAGATTTCCCTTTCCCAGCCAGAAGCACAGGCTAGCAGCACCTTTATCTGTACAGGAAGGCTGAGCCAGCACCTCAGAGGTCTCTGCCTTGAGCTGGTAGGAACACAGATATCAAAAACCCACCACTGAAAAAGTGATAGCCTCCCTGCACCTTCAGATAAGTCCTGTGCTGATGTACACTGATGAGAGAGTTACTGAAACACGAGGGAGGCAGCGGGCAGGAAAGCACACCTGCAGGCACCCTTTCAAGGCTCTCTGGGGGCTCTCTGTGTCAGGAGGGCCGCGGCAGGCTTGCAGCTGGGCTGGCAGGAACTGGGAGATGCAGAGGTGGTCGCTATGGTTAGTGTAGAAACCTGTCTGGGGAGAGCTTCCTGAAACTTTCTTCTTCATCTTCTTCGCTTCTCTGACAGATGTGTGCACAGAGCGTGTCTTGGAGCTGTGCTGATGGGTAGGGATTGAATCAAGGGGTAAAAGTTGTTTTCTCCATGAAATGAAATTTCCTTGGCTGTGAGTCGAGCTATGCTGTAAGTGTGGATTTGCGCTGTCTGAGAAGTGGAGGCTGTTTTACAAAACAGTTAAAAATTCAGCAATCATTCTGATACTCAAATGGATTGGAAAAATGCCTTCTAGAAATGTCACGTATCAAGAGGGATTATAAAAAACAAAAACAAACTCAACAGCCTGATCACCAATAATTTATGGAAAAATAATAGCAGAGTGGATATGTTTTGCAGCCCTTAACAATGAGCTGTTTAACCACTGCCAGCTTGCAAACACAGCTGAAGGCAGAATCTGGACCTCTCTGGTACATCTTCATTATCTCACCTCCAGCAGTCACTGAAAGCAAAAAAAGTTACAAACAAGTTTGTGCTGGTAGCAGGGTCTTCAGTGAAAACCGCTGAGACATCAAAGTCAAGTTCAAAGAAAAGAGGCAAACAAAAGGAACAAGTGCATTTGGTCAGGAAGCATGACTTCCTTTTGAATTAAGACATTAGACTGGAGATTGAAGGATGTGACCAGTGTCTTTCCTTGGCCACCCAGGCAGAACTCCACCATTGCTCCTGAGCAATGTCTGCTCTCATGACTGACTCCACCCATGCTAGGAAACAAGGACACAGGCAAAATGCAGACCAGCGCCTCGAAACCATTCTTTCCTGAACTGAAGCATTTTTAACATGCTCATTAAACACAAAACAAATCAACAACCGAAAAAAAACCCCACCAAAAAACTCAAACCAAAAAATTACCAAAACAAAACAATAAACAAACCTCCAACACATTTTTAATGGATTTCTAGGAACAAGCCTTTTGTTTTGTGCTTCGCCACCACACCTGTCTCAGATCAGGAATGAGGTAGAAATACAATTAAATGTGGCAGGAGTAAGAGGAGGTTATGATTATGATGTTCCCATCACAATGTTACAGAAACAAAAATGTTACAGAAACATCCTTTGCCTATGTGCCTGCCTGTGTGGGCTTGAGGGAGGGCTGATTGTCATTGACTTAGCTGGCATGGATAAGGATCAAGATTACAAATACAGAGGAAAAAAAACCCTGACTTTTTTGAAGGATCACTCTATGCCATGGAATATTCAGTTCTGTGCTTGCTCTCTGCTTTACCTTCAGCAGATTTATTTTGGCTCCTAACTACAAAGTCTGACTCTTTCATTCAAGCTCTAGTATTTTTTTTCCTAAACCAATTCAAGCTCTGGCCCTTTTTCAGTTTAGGCTTACAGCTGTCACATGGGTCAGACCTGTGGGAGTTGAAGCCCCAGGATTCCCTGCATAGAAGGCTGAAGAATGACAGGGAATTAACTGGGAAACACCTCACACTCAGATACTTTTGTTTTTGCCCTGGCTCCTTTGCCTCTTCATTTTTAATTAGTGGCACATGCTGAAATGATAATTTAAATTCTTTTCAGAAATGAAAAGAATTCCCACTGACAACATTATTAAGTTATAATTACAGAGGATGAAAAGGTTAATAGGAATTTGAGCCAAATGTCTACTCTCCATTAAATGAGAACTTGACTGAACCTGCTTTCCTTTCACTTAGGTAGGTTACTCTGGGTTTGAATGTGTCCAGGATGGCCACACTCCTGTGCAAAGGGCCACTGCTAGGACAGGCAGCTGTCACCAAGACCATTTACACAGACTTGTCTCAGGACAGCTCTTCCCTGACCGGCTCAAGATGGAATTTGCCAGAGAGGTGGAACTCCTCTTGGGCCCCTGGAAGATGTGTGCTTCAGACAGTGAGGAGAGCAGGGTCACAGAGGGACATTTGTGTGAGAAAGGTGTGTAGGAGGTGGCACTTGGCTGCAAGGGAAATGCAGCCACTACTGATGGAGAGAAAATCATCAGCTTCCTGAGTCTAGCATCCAAAGAAAGCCTCTTCCTTCACCCATGCTGGGCAGCACGTGCATGCAGAAACAAACTGGCCCGAATCTACTGAGTCTTCTGCATTTCCAGTGAAAGGAGAAACAGGGAAAAGAAACATTTTCCTCCATATTAGCTCTAAGTGTGCCCATCAAGAAGACAATTATTGTAATAGTTATACATGTTTAAAATGGATTTTAAAGCAAGTGAGGGTGTAGGGGAAAAAAAGCCCACTCCTTTTTCTGGGCACCTGCAGGCTGAGCTTCCATGGGATAATGGACTGTTTAAATTCAGACACGATCTGTGCAATACCACTGGAGCCATACAAGGCAGGAGTGTTGCCTTGAAGTCCTGTTGTAAGCCTGGCCTTTCTTTTCCCCTTTTTCTCTTTAGCAGCTGTAACCCATTGCCTAAGCAGTGTGGCATGCCTCAAGGCAGGCCTGTCCCTCTTCCCAGGTCGCAGGCTGGGTCCCGCAGGGCTCTGGCATCTTGCACAAGCAGTTTGAGGCGGCAGCCCTGGCACAGGCAGGGGTTCCCGCAGACTTCCCCTTCCCGTGATCCCTGCCCGGCCCCGGGGTCCTGCCCAGGGGAACCGCTCAGAAATGGCCCCTGGGCCGGCTCTCCTGGCCCCAAACGGCACAGGAGGCATGGATGTGAGCACACAAAACGACTGCGAGGGAGGGAGGGGGCTGCTGCAAGCACTGCTCCCTTCTCACGCCGAAAGCCAAAAGCACAAGAGCAGGGACCTGTGCAGAGGTGGAAAAGGCCTTTTTGCTCTTCTCCTTTTCTGTGCACTGCATGGTTTGAGGGCCAGTGTGTGGCTTCAGCTGGGAGGAGTAGGCTGGTGCTGGGTAAGGAGCTAAAAGGGCTGGAAGGCACCTTTGGGGGTCAGCACACACATGGCTACTCTTTCATCATGGAGACAAGTCTGCACTCATGAATATCAGCATGTCTTTGAAGCGCTTGCATCAACTTACATTTCTGGAACTTATTTTCAAGCTACTCAATAAAATGGGATTTTTTTTTCGACAGGATGCCCTTTATTTGTTTGTTTGTTTTGTCAGGAATTGCTTTTATCTCTAGCCTTCCTAGGGCTGAAAGACCCTCAGGATGTCAGCTGTGTGAGGCTCTTGCAGGTCTGGCCAATTATTTGCTGTGAAGCACAATGCACCAGGGTTTCAAAGTATACTCTCAACTCTGTTTTCTTAAGACAAGCATGGAAAAAAGCCTGTTCTACAGTTACAAGAACTCCAGAATATTTTTCTCTTATTCAATTGGTTTCTGACCTGATTGTCCTTAGATGAAAAAATAAATTAGCCAGCATTGTGGGATAAGGGCAGTTTTGCACAAAAGGTGCAGTGAGTCTCCCACTGACTGAAGCTGACCTGGACTTTGGTGTCAATAGAGATGTGCCCTGAGACCACAACATGCTCAGTACTCACTGTTTTGTGCTGTGTTCCTTCCACTTCCTTAACAATCAATGAGAACCGAGGATTTTGAGGCTATGGTGTGCAAAACTCTATTCCTTGCTTATCTAAGTGTGCTGGGAAAAACCTTCTTGGCTTGATTGTTGCCATTAACACCACCGCCAAAAAACTGAAGACAAACAAGATTAGGAGGCCACGCAGGTTTAAGTAAAAAAAGAACACACTTTATTTATCTACAAGGCAGTACACTGTTGTATAAAAAATTAAGTGCAGATAAAGTTGCACCAAATGCTATTAAGGCAGCAAAGTCAGAGGCTGTTATAAAACCACAAAAAAATAAAAAAATAAAATAAAATCAGTGTTTTGCCATATCAATAAAGATCTGATATGGCAGTACAAAGAACCATGTACTTCTAAGAACCTGATTCAGTACACAAGACCCAAGTTAGGGAACAACTAGCTAGACATGGAACAAAAGAGACAACATGAACAAGACAGTGTTCTCCCAAACATATGAAGGTGCAATGCATGCTGTTACAAACCAATGAGAAACAAAACAACACATCCACACAAATAAAAATCTCCCAAGAACAGTGTTCAAAAATATTGCTTATAAAAAAAAGGGGAAAAAATATAAATGATGTAAAAAAAAAATTAAAACAAAAAGGTCTGAAATGCTAGTGCATAGTCAATTAGCTAACATCAACATTTGTTTTTTTCCATATAAAGCTCTACTGCTCCTTTTACACTAGCAGCATGTCTACACGCTAAGGTCTGTAGCAGCAAAACACAGTATTCATTTGGCATTTACAAAATTAAATTACTGAATAAAAATATAATTTTTCTCATAAATCTATGTTTCATACAGTAATATTCTTTAAAGCAAGCTAATTACCCACCCCCCCCAACAGAAACACACAATGTATAATGGCCTAGAACCAAAACAGAAAGGAGTATTTCAAGAGGCATGGATGTTTGAGCATTCACGATCTTGATCAGCTTTCCCCTTTTGCACAGACAAGCGTTTGTAGTAATGCTTTTCACTTCGGTATTTTACACCAATTCATTTTGTTCAGTGATTTAAAATATATCTGTGTGAGTACCTGCTCTTTTATTATTACAAAATAAAAATAAAAAATAAAAAAGAAACAAACTAAACCCCACCCCTGACTAGCACATCACTGAAATAACAATACTGGTGTATTAAGTCTGTTTGATCTCAAAAAGTACAAGAAAAATTATCTTTATTATAAGACTGCACTTAAGATCATTAATTACCGATTCAAACTCAATACCTAATAATTTAGGCAAGTATCATTAAAAAAACACAAACTCTTTAAGTTGGGTGAAATCCAACAAGAATATATATGCTGAGTGACTAAATGCACTTTGTGCTGCTCCCAACTGTTGTACCACAACAAAGATAGGCTCTTCTCCCATTCATGAAAAGTTCTCATGCAGAGGAACAGGAATTTCCCAGTGGAGGTGAAGTGTTCTCAGAACCATAATGCTTCTCTGTGCGCCGACCCTTTCACATCACCAGAGTCCGGGTGGGGAAGGTGGCCATGTATTTGCGCGCCTGATCTGGCAGAGCCATCTGATCCTCGATCTTCCCGCAGGACACCGGCTCCCAGGTGCTGTTCAGATGCTAAATCAGAAGAGAGAGAGAGAGATTTAGTTTGAATGCTGTGTGATTTATCCATAGTCCCAGCCAAAGCTGGGCATGCTCACAATTAACTGTTCCATGGACAGGCAGTGGGATGTTGTCCTGTCCCCTGAGAAACTGAAATCTCAACACAACAGGCAAAAAAATGTCACCCTGACTTCTCAGTTAGTGACCACAGGGGCAGGTAGCAGATGATCTGCAGAGGGGACACTGCAGGACATCCAAACTTTCCTACTTCTCTCTCAGACAGTGTCTTTTCTATAATGCCACAGCTACAGCCGTGCCTTTAATCCTTTAGGAAGATCTAAACGAGAACATACTTGGCAGGCCAACTTTACAGTCAACAGAGCCCAGACAGGCTACTGCACACAGTTAAAATATTCAATGTTATGACCACGCACGACTTCCTGGTGAACCTCCAATGTAAAAATGCAGCTGCTCTGTCCCAGAGCTCCCTAAAGGGAGCTGACAAGCTCCAGAGCCCGCGCAGCGCTGCCGAGGATTCCCGCGCTCCGAGCTGCTCTCACCTGTGGGCAGCGATCAGCACCCGCCCAACAGCTCAGCTCCCCTGCCAAGGGAGGAGGGAGCAGGGCTCGACTCTCAGCAGAAACAGCTTTTTAATTATCATGTAAGCCATTTCACTTCTTGTGGTATTTATGGAGGTTGCAGACACCATTTAGTATAATGCTAAAATGAGATAAACCTATCTGCAGAGGGCTGTGTGTGCTGTTATTTATTTACTCACTACACATGTGAGACATTTCTCATTGCCTTGAGCTATAAACAGCAATGAAATTTCAAAGCTCCTGGAATTTACCAGGATACACACTTTTATTTTTTTCTATTGAACTCTCTCACTTAGCCAGTGTGTCTGCCTTTCCACACTGAAACTTTCTCTAAGACCTGAATAAAACCTCTATTATCACACGGTTAGCTGTACAAATAGTCTGCATTCCAAAAATGCACACAGTTGTGCTTATCTTTCCACAAGAGGATCCCAGCACTGCTGAATACTGAGAAGGTGTATGCTTACGATCCACCAGTAAAGACAAGTCAGGAGAAACCTTTCTCAGCTTTCCATTGCATTTGAAAAGGATCATATTTGCAGCACAATAACTACATTGCTCAAAGAGATGTCCAAAGCCTTCCCAACCTCTAGGACAGTGGATGAATCATAATTAGTGGACTGCAAACCATCTGCTAAGAGCAGAACTGTCCTGGCGTGCCCATGGCTCTTTCTGCCAACTTCTAGTTGCTAACTTTGCAAGAGGATCCTTAAATTATTCTCTGGCCTAAATGTTTACAGAATGCTCTTCTGACTGTAAACAGTGTTATCTGAGACATATGGATAATAAAAGGCTGGGCAACTATGAAATACAGATAATTTCACGCAACATGCCCTAATCAGGGCACCAGAACCAACACAGGGACCGAGGTTCCTGCCTTGGCGGGCTTGCAGTCTAAAAGGGACAAACCCAGTGAATAACTAAGCAAGTGTCTTGGTCCTCTGCAAACTTCTGCTGGGCTTCCCTACACATGGCTTTCTCTTCTCTTTGTAGGGAAGCTCCAAATGCTGCCTCTTCTCCTGGCTGCCATTTTGCAAGCAAAACTGCTGAACTTCAGTAGGAGTTCCCTTTCTGAAGGAGAACCAGGTCAGGCCTCAAATCCTTAAGTTTCTGCAGTTTTTGTGGGAAGGCTGCATCTGTGAAGTGAACAGACATGCCATGCACCTCTTCTCTAGAGCTGTGTACCTTGTGCTGTGGCTCAGGCAAGGGCACATGCCAGAAAGCAGGTGTGACACACTTTCTGTGTGCCACAGACCCCCATGCAACACACCACAGTTCCTTTTATGTTCTGGTTAAACAGCTTCCAGCGTCACTTTTTCAAAGGCACCTACACAAGCTGGGAAACTACAACTCCCTATTGATCCTCAGTGGGACTCAGGCACCTGTGCATATTTTCCCCTGCTGTTTTAGAGGCATTTGCATGAGAAACCAAATTAATGCCTTGTATAAAGCCATTGGTATTACTTAGAAGTTGGATTTGTTCTGTACACTTCAAAAGCAGCTGATAGCTCCCATATATCCATAATTTCCAAGGATAGAAATATGTGTCTAACCAGTATTTCCCTGTGATTCCCCAAGCTTCAATGCACCAGTCTGGAAATAAGAGATCAGCAATCCCTTAAATAACTGAAAATATGTAAGGAAAAGTCCATTTGTCACAGTATGTCAATTTCTGGAAACTATAAGTAACTTCAGGTAAGGAGTGTCCCTATTTCATAAATCAGGCTTAATTGTTAGTATCTACACTGAGCTCTTTGTATTAACAGCCATGTGCTTAGTAGAAAAAAAAAAATCAGTATCCTGATATCACCATCATCTCAGCAGGCTGCTACATGTCACTCATTCCATGGAAAGCCTGGTCTTCATCTTTAACCTGATGTCAGTGTGGCAGAAGCTGCTCAGGCAGGCAGTAACCTTCTGCCCTCCCACGGGGCTTGGCTGCCCCGGGGAGCACTGGGCAGCAGACACAGCCAGCACAGGAGGACCAGCTCCACCCCTCAACTCCAGCCTGCTTGAAACAACTTCAGCTTTGCTCCAGGGACAGAAAAGTTTTCATCCATGTATTCTTTTCCCCAGAAAATAGCACTATTTACACCTTTCCCCCCCCCCCCTCCCTATGGTGACAAACTTATAAAAGGAGGCTAACTTTGCATCTTATTGATGATGGTGAGAGCTCTGCTCCAGTGCAGAAAGAAGCACTGGACCCAAAGAAGTGTGTTTTCTGATGCAGCATATTTACTAACACAGTTTTCCATTCTACCCTTGGGGAACTCAGATAACATTTAAGTGGGTACTTTTAAAAAACATTTTCTGTCTGAAGCAATGACTCTCAGCAGCCAACACAAAACAAAGCACAATGGCTGTGCCTTGCCAGCCCTGCAGTGCAGTGCCAGAGGCACGTGTGAAAGTCATCCTGATGGGTGCAGTTTTCCTTCCCTCCCTGGCAGGGAGTGCTGGGTCCTACAACCCAGGCAGAGTGCCTTGCAGGGTCTGGTCACACACAGCTCTGGGATCTCCTTGTGAAAAGGGTAAAAAGGGTAAAAAGGGATCCCACAAGGCCCCCTTCCACACCAGCGTTGCAAGTACTGACAGGGCTCTGTTTCAGGACAGTGGCAGTGCCCCACAAATGTGTCAGAAGGAAAGAGACCCAAGGCAGAAGGCTACAGGCATGCAGGAAAACAGCACAGAACCACCCTCTCCCCCCAGCCAGAACACTCCTGTTGCAGAATGCACATTGCATCCTCCTGACCACATTTACAGGTCTAACTCTGCAAACCAATGGATGGAAACAAGATCTTTGTAACCAGAAGCCAGAAGGCCTGACCCATACCTCAGCAAAATTGATGGACATGTTTTCATTAATCCAGTGGATTCATCCAGCCTAAATTCAGTCATCTAAGAGTGAGGTGTTTGTTTTAGCACCTAAATTCCTAGCCAGTAGGGAATGAAAGTGATTTCCAGAGTAAATTCTTCCCACATACACAATTTTTTCATTGCCTCACAGGGTAGGAGACCAATCTTAATTTTGCTGTCAATTAAAAGAGTTTAAACCTTTTCAGTCAGTACTTCCACTGAATTTTTGTCTTCCAAACGCAACAGTCTCTCTCTTTAAGTTAAATCACGAAGTGGAGGGGGAGAAGAAAGTGTAGTACTACAAGTTCCCATAGGATTAAATTACAGATCCATGGTAGAATTCCAGCTATGTCATTCTCCCTGTCCCTTTTCTTTTTCTCTCTCTTTTTTTTTTTTTTTAACCTCAATAATCCTACCAGTACATCCTTCTCCTGGCAGCAAAACTACCTTATTTATCCTGTAATATGCCTTCAACTGCCCTCAGGCAAATCTGAACTGTAAACAAACTGTCAAAGCTGTAACTGGGATATCCAGTTAAAGCACTTTAAATAAAAGCTTGGACCATCTAGAGAAAACAGACCAGAGTAAGGGAAGAAAACAATATGGAAAGGTGCTTTTCTAACAGAACTAGTCCTTCTGCTCTTGTAGCCCAGACTGCCTTTTCATGTGCTGTCTCTATAGCTTAAGAAAGTTCCTGTGTTACAACACCTTTTGTGTTAGAAGCCAATGCCAAAACCAAACACTGCTGCAGTCCTGCAGTGCCGAGCTCCCAAAGTCTAGTAGAAATGCTTGGGCAAAGAACAGTGTTAGAAGACAGATTTTACATCTCTGCTCTGCTGGCAGGTAGCTTCAGCAACTCCAGCAAAGCTAGTGGTGTTACAAACACCACCACTAATTTAGCCAAGCTTTGCTTATTCAAAGATAATTTTTAAAAAGCTAGTGTTTTTAAAATATTTTAAATGCTCAGACTACTAGAAGGTTTCTTATCGTGTTTCCCTGCTGCAAAAAGCTGGAATTCTTGCCAGTTTTCCCTTAGATGGTTTAGATTGTCTGCAGAATGTGCCACTGAAAAGAAGGCGTGCAACAGAAATGCAGCACTCCTGAAACAGTAAAACAATGCACTAAACAAAACCATCTCCTAGCAGAATACAATAGCATATGAATAACATGGCTTTCTATTCTGTAAGGATGCAGAACTGGCAGGACAGTAAAGACTAATTAAAAACTAAAGTGACCATAAATTACTTTTTTATCTCATTTGACAAGACAGACCACTATTCCTACCCCTGCTGGCTTTCCTCTGGGGCACAGGGCAGACTTCTCCTAAACTCTGGGGCTTTCCGAGCTGCTCAGAAATGAAGCTTGCTAAATGTGAAAGAATAAGATGGGCCAGCTTTTCAGCTTTTGTTATAAGTATGATACCAGAGCTAGAAAGTGCTATTTGATGGCATTTAATCCTGAAGGTCTGGCTCAGGTAAAACTCCTGCTGAAGATATATATATGAGCTTTCCAAGTAAGATGAATGGACAAGAGATGGAAGTGGGCTAAGCATCTGCAACTCATATTCTTCTCCTCTCCAGTTATCTTTTTTTTTTTCCCCCACAGATCAGAATACATTGCTGCAAATGTGACTAATGGTTAAGTTGTCACTTTTCTTCCTGAGAGATCATCACCAGCTCAGGGCAGCTGTAACTTCCAATCTGTTTGCAACCCAAATTCTGCTGACCTGGGAGGAAAACATGCAATGACTGGCCTGTAACTTTGAACCTTCTCTGGCTCCCTCAGCCATGGCAAGCATATTTCCTTCCTGTGCACATCACTCACTGGGGACAGAAGGAGCAGCACAAGTGAGAGAAACCTGTGGGGCTACCTTTCCCTGCTGTGCAAATCTCAAACACAGCGTGCTTCCCCCTCTCCCTTGATTAAACAAAGAAAAATATGAGATTTCAGGACCTTCTTCCCCCAAAAAGCCATGGAGGAAAAACAGAGAAAGCCTGCTGCTGCAGGAGACCATGCTGCCTTCCTGGCCATTTTGTCTCACAACCAGCTGCAAATAAAACAACACTTCACCTTTTTAAACTGAGAAAATTAAGCTTCATGACAGCTCCAACACTTGAAAAAAGGTTAACCAAGTAACTGTTTTAAAATCCTTTAAACTTACACTTTGAAGAAAATGGCTACATAAACCGCTGAAAGTCAGGAAATTCGAGCTGAAATGTGTCAGTCTGTGGTTAAAAAAATGGAAAGTGACAGGAGCTAGGGGTTGAAGAACATTCTCTTTAGCTTGCAGGGCTTCTACCTTGTGTTGTTTCCTTTGTTACTGGGGGAAGAAGATATCAAAGCAGTGCTATTTTCTTAAAAGGCTCCATTTCATGGTGTCTTTTGATAGCCTGCAGGGTTAGGTGGAAGGTCTGTGATTTAGCCTACTTTTCCATCTGTTAAAATGTCTATGTTAGAATAGTTTGAATTATGTACTGCTACTGCTACAGAACATAATGTGAAATAAAATTTAACTTTTACATAGGAAGGGGCCAGAAACAGAGAGGTTTTTATGTAACCTCTTACAAGGCAAAATTAGAGCACATGCTCAGTACAGATCATCTTTTTGTCTTGGTATTGGAGTATGTTATCCCAAAATCTTAACCCTTGGAAAAGTTGCTAGTGAGACCAAAATGTCCCTGACATGCAACTAAGTGACAAAAATACAGAGTGCAAAAATACAGGTTTTAACTAACCCCATGAATACATAGCAGAAATATTTGGGATCCATGCAATGGAGAGTAAGTCCACCCCAAGGCAACATATGGGTTTGGTGAGACATTCCTGTTCCTGCCAGTCTGATAATGCTCAATGCACAACCATGAGATTTGTCACATAGGACAGAAGAGCTGGCTGAACCTCCACACATCACCAGGAAGATCTTACACAAAACTGCCTTTACATCCAATGTCTTGGGGAGACATAACAGGGGACTGAATGAGGATAAAGCCCAAACTCTTCTTGGATCTATGGAGGCTTCTCCTCCCTTTCCTCTATACAACACTGACAGCACCAAATTCCAGTGAGTTTGGAGCTACCTGACCTCACATGCCAAATGATGCAACATGCTGTTCCTGCTAAGTGATGGTGAATCATATTGTGCTATCTGATATGGTCATCAGCTGCTATTTACTAAATGGCATATGATCAGTCGTGTACCCTAAATGCAGTAAAAAATATCATTAGAGATGTGTTTGAACATTTGCTACTCTTGCCTTTGGAGTTTAACAGTAAAGTAATAAGTAATCAAGGATTTTGATCAGTTTATCCCCAGCCAAATAGCTTTGTGTAAATGTAGTGCAAATTATTAAAGCAATGGAAAACTGTGGGCTGGTAAATATACTGCCTCCCTCTTTTCTAAGTTCAAATTTAAAAGAAAATGGAATTTTAGGAACCAAGCATATTTAAAAAACCTCTAAGTTTAGTGCTGTCTTTGTTTCTCTCTTCCCTTTCCATGCACAGATCTCTCTTCCCTTTCCATGCACAGATCCCAAGGCACAGAAATTGCTGTAATTCTTTCTTGGACTGAAGTCAATGAGAATTTGCCTAAGTAAGAACAGTTGGATCAGGCCCAAAATATTAACTGCAGCAATGTCAACATATGCAGACACAATTAAATTTCACCCACATGAGTTCCCTCATGCTTGATGTCTGCTTTCATGGGATCAGTGGATTTAGTCCAGTTACTTGTTTGTGTCCATGCATGTGCTCATGTAGGAGGGTGAGACACCAAACTCTAAACCAGGAAGGGCAGAAAGCATAGGACAATAACGTGCTAAAATCTGGTCATGTACAGAAAGCAAACAGTAAAAACAACAACAAGCACAAAGAGAAACGTTTTCCATGGCTGTGCACCCTTTAGACATGCTATGCCCAAGGCACATGAGTCCATTTACACTGGGGTGGAGGAGGGGAAGCATCAGGGACAGAGCAGCAGCAGTTTCTGGTGTGAAACAGAGCCAGACTACACATCCTTTCCAAGCTGCACAGGGCCACACTGCTCCCCTCTGACACGAAGCCAAGCAGCTTTGCCATTCCTTTTAACCACCACACCAAGTCCAAACCAGAGAGTGCAGCCATTGGCAGACAATACTGCATTGTTATAAAAAGTCTGTATTTCATTCTGAAAAAGCTGTCTGTGGCACCATCACAGAAACCCCAAGCCTCATTCTTCATTTGAGATTACATTTCAGCTGAAAAGCTCAATGTTCCACCAGCAGAGAGAACAATTTTACCTTCATACTAGTACACCAAGAAGCTGCCTACTAACTATTCATTTTGGGGCTTTTTACAACTACTTTTTCTTTCAGTTCAACACACTTTAAACACTGAGAGGAGTTGGGAAGTCCTTTTTAACTCAGTTCCTACTTAAGAAAAGGTCGTCTTTATCCAAACAATGAGCATACCTGACTTTTAACATGGTTTTCCTGAGCAAGGACTGAAGAATTGAATCCAGAATGATCCACAAATTGACTCATGTAAACTTCCTGAACAAAATCAGCATGAGTGAGGACAGAAGGTTAAACAAGCCCTTTCGTTTATAGCAGCTTGTAAAGAAAATATTTTTAGATAGCAGGAAACATAACACCAGTACACCAAAGATCAAAAGATCCTATTTTACAGACCTCTCAGATCCTTCTTTTTTATTACAGCCAGAGTGCAGGCAACTACCACTAACAGGACAACACACAGCCCTAGCTACCTGAAAATCTTGTCCTAAATCTGTGAAGGAGCCCAGAGTTTGGCTGTTGGGACACAGCAGGGCTGAGCTCTTGGGGACCAGCAGCCTCCTCCCACGCACCCACCAGGGAGCTCCAGCAAAGCTGGAGACCCAGGCTCCTTTGCCACGAGGCAGATCTGAATTCAGCCCCTATATACTGCCCTAGATCAGGGGCAGTGGATCTGCAAACCCTTCTCTTGGCTGTCTACCACAGTGCAGCCAAGAAACACAGCTCATGAGGGAAGAGCAGATAAACAATACTGAGAGTGAGTCTTTGGCCCCTACAGACACCCCCATGCCAGGGGGAGTCCTAGTCCCTGCTCTCCAAAGCTGTTTTTCATCAAATGATTCTGCAGCACAAAATACAAGCCTACTCCATGGCAAACTGTGCCAAATGGGGATGTGTAAAATTTTACTATCTCCTTTTTTAATGCCTGGCTAGAAATGCCTAATCAAAACCAGCCTTTATTCATTCCTTCATACTGTAAATAAGCCCTAATGTAAATTCTGGAAAGAGGGAGTAAAGAAAGGATTAGCCACGTGGACTATCTGTCTGAAAGTCAGGAACTATGGAGTTACAATTTCCTTCCTGACAGTGACTCACCCTGGGGAATAAGACGCTTTCCTTTATTTCTTCCATGTGGAGATGGGCTAAAAAATCACTTAGTCATCTACCTTGGAAATACAGAAATTATGTTTTGTTTTCTGAATGACTTGCTGTGGGTTTCACCTAAAGTACACAAGAGCTGCCAAACTGGTTGCTAATGACTTTGGTGGGCTTTGGATCAGCCCCTGTGCAACAGCTCTGTTTTAAAGCACAGCAAATGTCTGTGTTTGTTAGCACTTGGCAAAAGCACAGACCCATAAACCCCAGCCTCACATGTGACTTACATTACAACAATTACACATTTAGCTCTCACTGGGGAAAGGCCATCCTGCTGCCAGGCTGAATGGGCAACTCTGGCCACACCCATGCCAGCCAGGCCGTGCTAGAGTCTCTCCTCTCACCCAAGGCCAGCCACAAATTCTGGCCACCACCACCACACCACTCAAATCTCCAAAACAGCAGTGCCACCTACAAAAAGGCTATGGAAAAAAACCCCTTTGGTCCACGTTAATTCTCAGTCCTACCAATTCCACACTGCACCCAGCTGAGTTACAACACCCCACACACAGGGCTGGGCCCTGTTTGGCTTCCTGGCTCTGCTGCAGCCACTGTGCCCTCATGCTCCACAGGCAAAGTGAGATCCTCAGCCACATTCATCTGAACATTTCATTCTTCCATACCCGAAACTGAAAATTGGTCTGTGAGAAAGCTATATATATATATCTATCTATTTATATATATATATGGATGCATATATGTATTTCCATATACAGAGGATACTTTTATCAAAGAATAATTACCTGTAGAGGACTAGCTAGTGGCCTGTTTCTAGGCACTGCAACTGTTTTGTGAAAACTGTCATCATCTTCAGACACAGGCATCTTTAAAATGGAACTGGTAAGAAGATTCTGAACAGAAAAAGAAAAAAGAAAAAGGTTTTCAGCAACTCATGAGAGCACTGTGAATTGGAATGTATTGTAAGTAAACTCAGGCTGAGTTCAGAAGTTGCTACATTGGGCACAGCCACAGATGAGGAGCAGACCTCAGCCTGGTGTCCCTGGGACTTGGCTTTGCAGGAGCATTGCCCTGTGCAGAGGTCTTCCATCCAGTGAAAATCCCAATTTCAAGAGTAACAGCAACACTGAATAGTCCATAAGCCCTGGCAATGCAAAGGGAATTATGCTCATGCAAGGCCTCCTTTGGAAAAATCAAGAGAGAGTGTCTCTCTCTTTCACCAGTTTTTAACTCCATGATCTAGTTAGTAATTTCTGCACACAGGTGCAGGCATCCTCCAAGTGCACACTCTTCAAAGTCTGTGGGCTGCAAAATGACTGCAACTTCTGAAACCTTCTATTGGCATCAGAGTGATAATTAAGAGTAGCATTTTGCTTTTTATGCTTAGTACAGGAAAATGACACCGAAATAAGGAATAAAGCCTACTTGTGAAGAAAATCAGAAAAAATATTCTTTTTCTCTTGCATTTAAGAATCGAACAAGGATGTAAACCAAAGAATTCCTTTGATGGTGTGAAAACTTACACTTACTGGCACATCTTCCATAGCAGACCCAGGTGTAAAGAGCTGAGTGTTCAGGTTTTCTCCTTCCCAGTGATTTGAGCAAAAAAAATTTCCAGCTTTATCTGTTGGAGACTCCACCTGAAAGCAGAAAAGGTATGATTCAATCACCACATAACTGACCAGGAGATTTCTGTCAGTTGCTTAACAAATTGAAGAAATATTCTTCACAGAGGTGCATAATGCATGTTTACAGTAACATCTTTTACAGCAGCCTTGGTCTTTGCAGAAGAAAAAAGTTCAAGGTTCTCCAAAAAATCCCCATCTAATAAAACTTTGAATACTTGCACTCAGTGCTCTGTCAGTATTCAGGAGTTTAATCCCCTAGAAAGGATTGAGAATAAATGTATTTTTAGAACTTTAGTGACAAAGTAATATAATGCAATGTCCTCAAATGTTCAGGTTTCTAAGTCACTCCATGGAGCTTGGTCCCCATGGGGTTCTTCTATACTTTTCACCAATATTTGAAAGATTCAATCCAAATTCATGTCTAATTTTTCTTTTCTTTTTAAGTTTCAAACGAAAACTGCATTAGAACGGCCCAAGCAAACCCCTGCTGAAAACAGCAGAAAGACTTCTATGGAAATCAATGGGAGATGAATTAGACATGCCTAGTGTACTATATGGAACCGACACTAAGATCTTGGGGCTCACATGAAAGAAAAACAGACACAGCTATTTAATAGAAAAGGCATTGCTATAAGTTTCTCAGCAAAGAGTTCTGAATTAAATTGCCTCAGGTAAGTTTGAGATTTACCTCTTGTTTGATTTTCTTCAGCAAAGGGGGTCCACTTTCATGTAGCCCAGCCACTATTGCAGATTCCTCCGACTCCTGCTTGATAACATCCTGCAGATCTTCTACAAGATGAGTTGGAGTTTGAGGCTGAAAGAAAGAAAGAAACGTTATATCCAAGTCCCAAAACATCCCTCTGCACTAATATCAAAGCAACTTTTATCATTGTTTCCTTCTTACCAGCATCTTCAAAGGACCGTATTTGATTTCCTGAGCTGCAAGTGCGTTTTTGAATGGAGTGGGTGTTCTTGGAGAGCTTTCTAATATCGACCTCTTGATTGCTGGAGTCCTGAAACTTTAAAAAGAAGGAGAGGAACTTTAAAGGAAGATGCTTGGAAATACTAGCTCTTTACAGAAATGCATGCATACAGGCAGTATTGTTGTAAGACTTCAGAAAACATTTCCCTATCATCCTGTAATCCATTTTGCTTTTACAGCAGAACACCTCTTTATTTTAAAAACTGGTGAACGTATATGCATGGCTTAATAACCTACCTCAATAGTCATAAAGTGGAATTTTTACTCCCAACTAAGAAAAATCGGAATGTGTGAGCAAACAACACTGCAAGAAGCATAGATTCATAGAATGGTTTAGGCTAGAACGGTCCTTAAAGATCATCTAGTTCCAAACACCCTGCCACAGGCAGGCACACTTTCCATGAGATCAAGTTGCCCAGGGTTTCATCCATGGATAGGCCATTCACTTTTCTGGCCAGCCTGCTCCAGTGCCTCACCACCCTCTCAGTGAAGAATTCTTTCCCTGTATCTAACCTAAACCCACCCTCTTACAGCCTAAAGCATACAAAGATGACCCAGGACTTTGCTTGCATGCAAATGTGAAGACGTGGACCCTCGTGAGATCGACAAGACAAGAGACTTACACATGGTTTTCCTTCTGAGCTTTGAAAGCCTGGTCCCTGTGGAACGGGGAGGAAACTGTCATCTTATGGCCACACACCGGCGTGGAGGTAAGTGCAGGGTTCTCCAGGTTCAAGTTTTCGTGAGTGGATGAGGTGTTTAAGAACTGCACGTGTTGAAGAAAGAAAAAATTAACAGGTACATCCAGATTACACGGCTGACCTCTTAAGCTGACGTTATTCAACAAAAGAAAAATAAATTATTTTCTTGTGATTGACACAAGTCACTCTCCTGACCCTATGATGCGATTAGGGGTATATGGGTTACCTGACTACATTGTGAAAAAATACTCAGTGGTTTGGCTCAGGAAGCTTGAGAGGGAAATTCTAAAGGAAATGACACTGTTCCAATGAGAAAAACTTTCCACCACTTTCAGAGCCTGATTTGTATTTTCTCCAAATAAATTTTAATTAAGACCAGTGTGCCTAAGAAACTGGGTGAAAATGAGCAAGGGATGTTTTAAAAACAAACCCACAGGAAACAGGGTTAAATTCCACAAATATTTATATGGGGCATCTAGGGGCTTTTAGGGCAGTGAAAGTGTTGATGACAGGAAAATAAATTTCCTACCATCTCTCTCAAAAGAAAGTACTTCATTTTCAGAGTATAAAATGAAAGCTGCCACCTGTGATGGGTGCGTGGAATACTTTGGAATGGAAACAGCTGATTGAAAAAGAGGCAGCACTATTTGTTTGGAGAAAATTGCTCTTGCATGTGTTCTACCTAGTAACCTAAAATATTGTTTCTATTTCTAGTCTACAAATCTGTGAGCATAGTGGTATCCTTTATTCTGACAACAATTCAATGTATTCCCTTCTAGATTCTGTCACTTTATAAAAATGCGGCATGTAAGAAAATCTGGCTTTCATTGGAAAAATGGCATATGATTAAAATAGCTAATAAGTAATGGGAAATACAGCAAGAAATCATTACATGAAATCTTTTCCTTCATGAAATAGTGTTTCTTTGACATCAAAGACTAAAGCAAACCAACACAGACAAACAAAAAATCCAAAACACTTTTAAATAGTGCTACAGCTGTGAAACAAAGCAACCATCTTCAGGAATTTGAACCAGCCCATTTTAATGGGCCATTTTCCTCCTCATTCCTATTCCACTCCAACTCTCCCGGCCTGGGCAGAGGATGGCAAGTGTGATTTGAATTTTCTGGTTGTTGTCAGTTTGTCTCACAACCTGAATGCTATTTAAATGTAGTTTGGGGTTTTCTAGGTCAATGAATCATACTGTAAGTGGACAGAGATGGAAAGTATCACAGATGATCAGAAATGTTAAACTCTAGTAGCTGGAGTTAGCAGCAAGAGTAAAGCAAGGGGTCACACTCCCCTACAAAAAAGATCCAAAAAGGCAAAAAACCAAAACACAAAAAACCAAGCCCCACAGCTGAATTTAAAAGTCAAAAATCAACAGTTAGCTTGCTGATTAACTAAACTCAGCAGTGAAGACTGGGAGCAGTGAGAAGATTCAAACACGGAGTGAAATCAACAAGCACAACGGTAATTAGTCATTTGTTCCAAAGGATTAGTTTCTAAATTGTTAAGACTGGGGTGACTTTTGAGAATTAGTAACATCTGTGCAGAAGTCTTGATCTACCTGCGAGGGAGAGAAGGGCAGGCTTTTGACAGGGGAGCGCTTAGGAGGAGTTGAGCTGCTGGCGTCAGCTCGGACCAAGGTGCTACCGTGGCCACTGGCTGAGGGGCCGCAGTGCCCTCTCCTTTTGCGAAGAAGGAGCCACGGAGCCGCACTGCCCTGTGAGGCAGATAAGGTCTTTGGTGAGCCAGGAGAACCCTGACTCGACATGACTTTGCTCAAATTTGTGGTGGGCTGTCCTTGCGGTCTGCAAGCACTGGCCCCTCTCTGCTGAAGCTGCGCGGCTTTGCCTGAGGGAGCTCTGCTAGCCGGAGTGTCTGTGTCTTCAAAGAATTCAAAAGTGCTGAGATCACCCCATGATGAAGGATCCTGAAACAACGTGGGAGGCACGGAGCTATAAGACAGTGTATAGTGCCACCTCATGAAAATACAGTGCTAGGATATGTTTGTAATCAACAACAACAACAAAGTCTTTCCCAGCTCAATTCAACCTGACCCTGTTCATGGGAGCAGCAACACTGTGAACACAATAATTTGTGTTTTCAATATATACCTTGATCTTATCAAACTGTCTGACATCCTAGTAGTGTTGCTGGCAACAGAGTTCCTAACAAAAGAGTCCTTACTATTTGCTTGCAGAGTGTTTTCTGCTTGCTATGATGATGGTGACTTTTGTTACAAAAAAATGTGTGCTGTAGACCAAGACTGGCCTCCTCCTAACATGCAATGCTGCTCTGGATGTGCTGAAAGGGAAATGATACCGAATGAAGCAGACACCTCTGCTTCTGAAGGAGGTTGCCACCAACAAATGTAATTCAATGTGCTACTTTACATGTAGCATCCCAGAGACTGCAATGACAACAGGTCCATGTCAATGTCAGTCAGATACTTGACATTTAAATGTGTGTTTACAGTCCTTCACATATGCCAGGACAAGTTCCTTAAACTTTGAAAAGCAGCTATTGAGGTTGTAACTAAAAATTCTAGAAGATGATGCAGATACATGAGCGGCCACACCCAAACCTATGGCATGTGTCACTTCAAATATCAGTAAATATCATCACATTGTTTAAAATTTTTCATGGTATCTCTGACTGTATTTTAAGGAGACTTAAAATTGAGAGATTGTTTCAAGCTCCTACTGTGCACCTTGCCATAACTCACACTCCCATTCCAAGTTGTAGCAGGAAAGGGAGACACCCAAAAAAAGCATATGCATCCATGCTTGAGGGCTTCATTTACAAGCAGCTGCATTTTGTCATGTCAGAAGATAAGCTTCAGATCCTGGACCAACTCGAAGTTACTCAGGAAAAAATCAACAACCACATTTAGGACAATCCCAGCTCCTCACCCCTTACTCCTTGACCATGCACAAATCCACCTGAGGCGGCGAGTCTACTTACGGAGTCTATTAACTGGAGTGTTTCAGCAAATTCTAAGAGATTCTTAACATTGTCCAGGATGTTGCTCTGGTGAACAATCATGCACCGGGCAGGGGATGCACTTTCCTCAGGTAAGCAACCGTGATCCACCGGTGGAGATGGAGTACAGTGGTGATGCTCCCCCAAACAGGAAACAGGTGCACTGTCACCACTGGTCCTGGTACTGTCAGCAATTGTGGTGCTGTGCCAGCCGGGGTAGTTTGATGTGTGGTTCTGTGTCTAAAGGAAGAAGAAGGCAAAAAAAAAAAAAAGAAGAAAAGGGAGGGGGGAAAGGCAGAAGGAACTTAGCAATGAAATTGCACAAGGTGTCAGATGCCACTGGAGGAAAGATAAAAGTAGTTGCATCATCATCTAAAAGCTTATGCCTATGAAACAATTGTCAAGATGTTTCCTTTCATCAGTGCAAGATCTTATTTTAAGTAATACTGGCATTGTATTTGTTATCCCAAAGTTACCTCATAACTTACTTCCAGGATTATAGGCATATGTCATTACTAGCACATAATCAATTCATACTTTGTTACTCCAAAAAGTGTCTGCAAGTTCTTTTCTGTAAGAAGCAAGAAATGGCAGGATTTCCCTACTGAGCGCTCAGCACTGTAGAAGGCTAAAAGTTTTTAGAGTTAGAGTTGCTTTTGTCTGCTTATCTCCTTTTCTTCTGCTATCCCTGTCTAATGCTACAGCTTACACCAATGCAATGAAGAGGCTGTCAAATCAACGTGGTTAGGAAAGCAGAAGAACAAATTAACAGAAGTTTCTTTCCAGTGTGATCATGCAACAGAAGAAATTGCAAAACATCTACTAAAGTTAAAAAGTGGCCAAACTAACGTATCATGCATGCAGTTCCTTTACTAATCATTTAAATATTACCCAAAAAAAGAAAAAGAATCTGCTGGCTATCACCTATCTTCAAAAATGATTTTGGGATTCTTGGCTTTGGTGACAGTGTTAAGTAGTTACACAAGGCCTTTCACGCATTAACATCCAATGGCATATACAACCAAGTATGAGAATTCAGTAATAGCCAGCACTTGCTCCACACATGCAGTTATGAAGAATCTAACATTATTCAGAGGAGTAAAACAAATTCTCAAACATGCACCAAGTCTGAAGCTTACGAAGTATATAAAACACAGCTGAAGGAAAGAATACAACAGAGAAGAAAAATCTAATGCACAGGCACTACATTTTCATCACATGAACCATTGCACACTTTCAGAAACACAGATACTGTTATTGATTAAAGGTCTGCAGGATTTTCAATTTTTAAAGGTCTGTAGGATTTTCAATTTTTGTGCAATCATCATGTTTCCAATATTACATCATGTTACGGAGCCCAATCCTGTTCCCACTTTGCAGAGTAAGACACCTGCAAAATTTTTAATTTTTTTTCAACAAAAGAATTTACGAAGCAGATACAGATTACATATGTGCTATGTTTCATCCTTTTAAAACGGAAATATAGAGCCTTGATTAGTACTGAAGGCAAAGGGGGAGTAAAAAGTTAAAAAGACAAGCACTGGGGTAAGGCTGCTATCCCTCCATCCAAGCACACAGTGACAATCTTACTGGTAATGCCTGCTGCCCTTTCAGTTCATTCTCAGTCGACATTAGTAGCAACTCTAATTCCTTTATTCGCTTTTCTTTCTCAGGGTCTTCATCATTATAGTGTCTCTGAAATTAAGAGTTAAGGGAAAAGAAAAGATAAAGGTCTGATAGGATGTAGCAACTAAAATGCTCTTGGTTTGCCAACCTGTGGTTATAACAGCCAAATTAGATTCCAGGATGAAACAAATGTCAATTGTGTTTTCCACTACCAAAGTCTCTGCTGAATTTCAGTATAGACATTTGAAATGGAGAAAGTAAAGGCCATCACACCAGATGTCAACTACTGCATTAAAATCCACTTCAGAAGGAGCAATTATTAGCCATGTTAGAACTCCCCGACCTTCCCCATTTTCTCTTTTCACCACACTTAATACATTAAAATGTTTCCTTAATGCATGATGTCTGCATTTTAGTTTATCAAACATTTAAGAAATTGACTCTTGAAATAAGGTTCAAGTTATCTACCTGGATAGCTGCAGCAGCTGGCTGAGGTACATTGACAATATTTACATGCAGTGCTACTGGATACGGGATCTGACCAGGAACCTAGGTCAAAAAGCAAAAATTTATTATTTCCATCATATTATCTGCTTGCATTACCAATTTGTGTTAAACATACTTTGGTGTTAGGTACTTAATATTTGTAGTCTGTTGAGATGAAATAACAAAAAAATAAAAATGTTTACAAGAAAAGTAATCACGTTTTTAGGAATATGACTGCAAGCATTAGAGAGGAAGAAAGAAAATTCATATATGAAATATTTACCCTTCCTGAATGAGAAAAGATGAATAATTTATAGACACATTTGTAAGGATTTCCTAAATTGAAATGAAAAAGCAAAATATGCAATTTATTATCATCTAAAACTCTACAATGCAACTGTCTGAAGCAGGAGCCTGTTTCATTATTAATCATTAATAGAAAAGAAATCTGATTAAAAACAATACTTATTCACTTGGTTCTGACAGGCAACCCACAAACAGAATACTACTAAAGAGAACGTGGGAGATTTTGACATGGAACACAGAATTAACCAGATTCAACTGATATTCAAGAAATTTAATATTCCCAACTCTAAGAAATATGTTAACTGCTCCCAAGGCATTAAACCTGCTGTACCCAGTTCCACCACCTGAATGCCACCAGTTTGAAATGTACTTATTTTCACCACTGAACAAAGTAAAAGTCAAAGAACTCCTCATCTGACACCAAACACACCCAAGTCCACCAAGACGAAGAAAATCCTTCAAGCTGAAACCAGGCACGGCTAAGCTGCACCCATCTGTCCCAGGAGGCAGAACAGGCCCCCCCTCCCCACTGGCACCTCCGGGCACTCACGTTCTGAGGCTCGGGGATGTGGTAGTAGGGGTAGTCGCTGCCCAGCGGGGGCTGGCTGGCCACCGGCAGCTGGGCGGGTGGCGACGGGTTGTGGGCAAAGGCCATCAGGTGGTTGTTCTTCTGAAAGCCAGCAGCTGCTGAGGAGTGGCAGGCTTTGGAGGACTCCTGCAGGTAGCCCTCCTGCTCGACCTTGCGGCGCATGGTGGAGTTCCAGTGGTTCTTGATAGCATTATCAGTTCTGCAACAGAAATACAGGCGCTCGAGGACTTTCAAATATGACCATTTCCAACTCAGACAGGTCAATGGGCAGGGAACTGCTGTCAGCATTTCTGTTTAAACTCTGAGCTCTTCTCTGACCTTCCTCCTACCCCCACCACTACAGATGCTACTCCCAACTTCTCAGGAAAGATGCTCAGTAGAAAGATTAGGGAAAAAGAAAAACGGGCTGCGGTTGTTTACATACTTTTTTTAAGCAATCTCTCATGACTTACATCCTCTAATTGTAAGAAATTACTAATTTCATCTTCACCTCATTCCCATGAAGTGAGGAGACAACAAAGGCTAACTTGCCTTTGAGGCTATCCTAAAGGAATGCCAACATTATCTTCTTATCTCTTAATATTTCAGTGGAGTCTTATTGTGTCATTGCTGGAAAGAAAGACTGTGGAGAACAGCTGTGAACAGGCTAACTTCCAAGCAATTTTCCAGCTGGTCACCTAGACAGCAACAACAACATGCTGTACATACAAACTCAGTAAACAAAACTGTTGGGATTTTTCTTACATGCAGAAAAACTGAGATTGAAATCTTCACATATATGTGTCAGGAAAAGCAAACTTACCAACTTTGTGAGATTTTTAAGGGTACATTTTAAAACAGCTCTGCTATTTGGAAAACATCACCATGGCATGCTATCATTCAAAGTAGTATCTGTGATGTGTGAAAGCCACAAAAATATTTCCAAGGGCTAATTTCTTTCTTGTTATCTTCTAGAAGGTGAAAGCAGCCCAGGGAATGATTGCTGAAAGGGCTATCATGATCTTAGGCCTTATATTTAGGTCTTGAAGATGTTTTATCAAATAGCAGGAAGAAAAGAAGGAAGAGAAACCTCTCCTTTGCTTACATTATTTGCTTGCCCACATTTTGAGTCACTTTTAATCAAGCAAGTAAGACCCTGAATCTTTGAGTTCAGATACAAGCTATACAAAAGCTTTCAGTGAGACAGGTATTTCCAGGACCAGAGTTTGAGGAAAAAGTTTCTCCTACTTTACACATGGTTTTTTAACAGGTCAAAATCATCTGGATGATTCAAGAGCAATTACAAAAGTTGAAGAAGCCTTTCTTAAATAATTTTGAATAAACAGACTAGATTTCATGTTGAAGGCATACCCTTAGCTGAATGTAAATTATGTTCCATTTGCAGGCCCTGATCCTTCCCTGTTAAATTGATTTAAATTTTGACAGTCATCACAGGCACAAATAAGACTTAACAGATATTTAGGAAACTCTTATGGTCTTGCTCCACTTACTGGCTTTTTTACCCGTGGCAAACATTAAAAGCTTGAAAAAATAGCACACTGCTGCATGTACTGACCAAACAGTGAAGTTCCCCACTGAGAAAAAAGCACATTGGTGTGTCACTGGCTTCCCAGGTTTTGATTCCAAATTTTTTTTGATTTATACAGTGCAGCCTGAGGCAACCAAAACAGACTGCTCAGACCTGCAGCTTTTTCCTTTTTTAAGAGCTAAAAGCATATGTCATTACCGTCCAGGCAGCAACTTTGCAATCTCTGCCCATCTGTTTCCCAGCCTCTTGTGTGCCTGGTAAATAATTCTATCTTCCTCTTCTGTCCAGGAGGTTTTCTTCACTTCTGGATTCAAATGGTTATGCCACCTCTCCCTGCACTGTTTTCCAATCCTTCCCTTCAAATGCTTAGCAATGACAGACCAGCGCTTTGGACCGTATTTCTGCACGAGCTCTATTACCTTCAAAGAAGAACATAAAAACTGCCTGTATTTAATGATGCATGATGAATCAATGACATTTTTTCTGTGGTGAAGCAATATTTTTGACAACATTTCTCAAAACTGCCAAAGTAAAACTAATAGCAATTAAGGTTCCCCACTTCCCATTCATATTTTTACCCAAAAGGAAAAATCTGCTAATAGTTAAGGCATTTCTAGACTGCAACTCCACATTACAGTGCTGTAAAGCAACAGTAATTTATTTTCATAGCAAATTTAGAAAGCACTACACAAATACAATCTGCCTCTGGCCATAATAATGTTGAGACCACCAAAGTTTCCAGGAGTTTTGGCCCAACACTTGAAATCTGCTCGTAAGGCATTAATCAGACAGAAAGAAAAACTGATAACCTACCCTTTGATCCTCCTCTTTAGTCCAAGGACCTTTGATAAGTTCTGGGTTTAGTACCTTCTGCCATCGGTGCTGGCACTGAACATCTGTCCGATTCTAGTGAAATGTGAAATACACAAAGTGGATAATTCTTTAGAAAAGATGAATGAAGAGTGAGAATGCTCTTATTTACATACACTTGTTTTGAAGTATTTCACTACCAACTAAGACTACTAAACATCACAGAGAGTGATACAGTAAGTCTGAGAAGAAGGTGGTCAACTATCAATTTGCTCACAGAATAGATAAGGTTTCCATCACTTCTGCATTGAGGACTCCATCACCAAAACTACACAAATTTTATCTTCCCCATCTGCACAATAGCTGGCATGTTTTCACATGCAGTATTTCAGCAACAGCCAAACACAAAGAAATTTTCTTCAAAATCATACTTATTATTCCCCAAAGTTATTTTTTTAGCTGTGCTGAGACATTTTGTTTCATTGTCACATTGACCATCTACTGTGCAAGTCCCCACCATCCCCCATTTTTGATTGTTTTTTTCCAACCCTTTCTGAGAAGTGAAAGGAAGAATAAATGCAGAGGTTTCCACAGTAATCTAACTGCACTTCTAAGGTCTCCATTTGCGGAAGTTTTATATCTCCCCTGAAAATGTAACTATAAAGCAACCACTCCCCCTTCATTAAGGAAACCCCTTGATAAAGAGTTGCTACTAAGCCTGGAAACAGAAACCAATATCCACTTACAGGAAGGAAATTTGCAATGACTTTCCAGTCTTCTGTGCCATTCTGCTCCACAAGCTTCTTCAGCTTCTCATCCTGAACCATAAACCCCCCCCAGAGATAATTAATATTGCAATCTCTTATTATCCAAATGAAATATTTTTTAAAATTCATTCTTGTAGCTTCTTATGCATCTACTTCTGCTTTCTGAGTGTAAGGGAGGGTGGTCTGTAGACTTTGCATGCTTTTAATTCCTAGAGCACAAGATTTTTCTATTCCTTTGGAGTTTCGTAGGTTCTTTACTGTGTTGCAGGAGAAATACTGGCTTCTATGCAATTCTTTGACTCACAATATACATTCCCATTTTACTCATCAAAGCATTGTAACTGTTATTCTTGGACTAGATTTACAGGAGGAAATAGGTGTTTAGATGCCAAGCATCAGAATAACCTTGAAATTCAGTAACACTCAGGCACTCAGCTACCTGGGCACCTCTGAAAATCACAGCCTTAAGCTTTATATGTCTTGCAAGTAATGGGAGTTCCAGTAACTTGCTCATGGCCTATCCACCTACAATAAATGCACAATAAAACTAACAGCTCCTTTTTGCTCCTGTTCTCTGCGAGGGAGTTTTGCATACCTGTAAATAGCAAAAAATTTGGCCCAATCTTTTTAATGATAAGGCCAGAAATATAGACCCTAAAGACAAAAGAAACCAATCTTATGTACTGGGAAAGATCAAGATAGAGTAAAACAAACCAGAAATGCCCCAGGAGATAAGAGGAGAAGAGTAGCCCTCTCCTTCCCCAGTTAGCACCTCCCAGTATGCCCCCAGTTCATGCAACAGGACAATGGCCTTTGGACCTCATGGCCATCCTTTCCTCCCTGGCCACATCACAACCATGCCCACCTTTGTAAGAGCAGACTATGATTTAAAATAAATAAATAAAAAGCTTGCAAGGGGTGACCTGCCACTGTTTTTACATCAATACACATTGCTAGAGAAGAGAAAGTCAAAACATAACTCAAGAGCTGTATTAATGTATTCCACAACAAACTCAAACCAGTTAAATGGCCAAAGGAGATCCATCTGGCAGAGGAGTTTGATACCACAATTTCCCCAGAAAGTCAGCACAAGGGTATCACAACTAATTCTGACCTTGAAAAGCAAAATACATCCTGAATGCTCAGTTTTAGTACTGCTGGATTTCTCTCCTCCAGCTTTTACTTTACTTCCCCTTGGAATCGTAACAGTGCAATTAAAGTGCAAAATTCCAGTGGTACAGAAAGACTGCAGCAGTTTTTGCCACAGTGGTTTGCTGCTGTGGGACACTGAACACACACGGGTTCTTGCATAGCAACAGTTTCCAAACAGAAAGAGGAAAGTAGCAACAATGAAGCACTGCTACAGGTGATTTGGAATCTGCTTCCCCAAAAGGGATTACACAGAGATTCACGCATCACATACTTAAACACAGAGCCTGGTGTTAAAGTGAAATTAAAAAGTTGCATTTATATATTTTATTTAAAAGGTAAGAACTATGCTCAAAGTTAAATAAAACACAGAATGTAGCTAGTGGGTCAAAAAAGTTGTCCTCAGACAAGGGACTCTCACTAAAGTAAGTTTGCAGATTAGCAATATGGTGAAGAACATGAAGCAACTTGGAGAAGAATGTGATCCATGCTCTCTCTTATCTTTTTACATGCGGGAGAGAATGAACTTGGATTTACCTCTTCGCGGGTCCACCTGGTTTTTCCTAAGTGGCGTTTTCCAGTCTTGGGAAGCAGACCATCATAGTCATGATCATACACCTCAACATCTTCTTCATCATCATCACTACTATATATACTGCAAAAGGAAACACAGTGAGACAGAGTGGAGCATGAGGACTTGAGCTACTTAATTACAAAACACAAAAAACCCCCCACTACAATCCTTACAAAGGTTACACAGATAAGTTTTAAAACTTGCACAACAAGATTTTGTTCTGCATTCTGTTGTTCTAGTATTCTGAACTGGTTCTGCTGTTTTTGGTATCCACAGATACAGGCAAAGGGCTGGCAACCTTCGTAATACTGTGCATGTTTAGACCTGCTCCTAATGTTAGATCAGTGGTGAATTACACATTTGGCAAACTTTCAACCAATGAAGGTTTCAAATTAAAATACAATGTTTGGGACAATAAAGACAACTAGAGGCTGTGTCCAGTACACGAGTAAATGTTTAAGATCTTTAACTCATGCCATACACATTCTGAAAAATATTAGTGTTTTTGTATGTTTAACACAGCAGATTGTTATACTGCTCCAAAATAAAACCAACTGTGTAGCAAAACAAAAAGCTAAACAATAACCTTGTTTGAGAAAGTGTTTATGGGCCTTATATGAGAAGGCACAAGTTTTTACAATAAATAAAGACAGTAAGTGGCAGCATTAACATGCAATAAGCTCTAATATAAAATATGCCCTCCATTTATGGGTTTGGACAGATAAGGACTGAGGACAAGTTTGTTTAATCCTGCAACCAACAAATGAATGACTGAGCCCTTCTGTAGTCTCCATTTCTATACGTTTATTACCTCTAGTCTATTTCTAAATCCCTCATACTGTTTTTGAAATACTCTGCTCACCTAATTCATGACTAAGGGATTTCCCCAGAGGCTATCTATGGGTAAAAAGGACTCCATGACTCTTTTCACAAACAGCACCTTCTCTACCTAGCTAACTAAATCTAAATGAAAGTGTTTTGCAACAAGACATGCCTTTCTGGTGTACCGTATTTTACGTCTGACTTTTAAGGTATGTGCAGCAGTTCTGATACTTCAGCTAAGAGCTGCTAGCCACAAGTGTTAGAAAGGGGTCAGTGTCATTAAGATTAAAAACTGTGATATATCTGATGGTATGGCATGACTAAGACATTAAAATAAAGTTATTTTGTAATAAAATTACAGGTGCTGTTTATGCTGTTAACCAGTTTTCAGGAGATTACTTTCAATTAATTTGCAGTGAAGCATGGCGACTGTTTGTCAAGATGCGAACACCTCCGAAAGGCAAGCTGCTGAACGCACATTCTTTAAAAGTACTGGGCTAATCACACCCTACATCTTCCACCCTGTTTTCTGGTCTGTGTCATGAAAGAACATGCTTACATGCTACATGTAAAAAGTTTTCCACAGCCTGCTGTGGTGTGTGTGGCCACCCTGCAGCCTCTGATGGGTGCCCCTGACTCACCCACCCAGCCCATCGCTGCCACCCGCAACTCGCACCCCCCGCGCCGCAGTCCGGCAGCCCCACCATTCACTCCCTATTCCCCAGACCCCACAAGCACTGGGAGTAAGCCCCGATGGAAGCTCCCACTCCGCACGCACCCCTCGTTGGCAGCTGGAGCCTCCCGTGCTTGAGCAAAAGCTCCCACGCTCCAGCTGCCACAAGCGCGGCTCCGTCCCCAGCCACCGCTCAAAGCAGATTCACTTTTCTCAGTGACACACAGAGACAGCTGCGCCGCTGCCCATATGCCAAAGGAAGTTTTGTGGCACAGTTTCCAAGTCTCATTTTGAAAATGAATTTTCCGTAGACGGCAACCAGCAGGTACGCATCCATCGGCGGCGCTTCCTGCGCCGCAGGAAAACGCCACTCTGCAGCAGCAGCAGCAGCACAGCACCAGCGGCCAACACGTTTAAGGACTTCACTGCGGGGCCAGTTCTGTAACAGGGTTATTTAAATGACTGGGGCCCCGCTGGCACCGCAGAACCGAGCAAACTTCACTGTACTACCTGCGTTCTCCAGCAGGAGAAAAGTGCCCGGGGATTCCGGGACGCTCGGTAGTTTCTTCAGTCAACCCGGCCCTCAGCAGTGCTCTAAAACTTTATTTTGCACCTCCGGCCGCAGCCCTGAAGCGTCCCCCCAGGCGGCTCGGCACGGCACAGCACGGCACGGCGCTCCGCCCGGCCGGGACAGCGGGAGTCTCCCGGCCGCCCATCAGCGCTGCGCTGTTGGCCGAGGCAACCGGCTTGTGCAACGATACACGGGGGGAAAAGCGAAAAAAAAAAAAAAAGAGAGGTAAAAAAAAAACCAAAAACCCAGAAAAAAAGAAAAAAAGAAGGAGGTGTAGAGGAAATGCCTCGCTGCTGTTACCGTGATTGAAGGAATTCGGGCACCAGCCCCGCGGGGCAGAGCCCGCGCCCGCTCCCGCCGGCGCCGCGCCCGCTGGATGAGGCGGACACCGCACCGAGCGGCCCCGGCCTCCCAGCCCCGAGCGGCGGCCGTGTCCCTGCGGGAGGCGCCCGCGAGGCAGCGGTAGCTGTCCCTCTCTTTCGGGAGACACGGGCCGGGTGATTCACCGCCAGCTCTAGCGACAGCCCCGCTTTGACACTCAAAAGTACAGCCCGGCGCTCGCCCAGCGGCTCTCACCGCCTCCTCCCGCACCGCAAGCCCCTGTTCCTTAGAAAGAGCCCACCAAGCCCCCTGTGCCACCGGACGGGGCTGGCTCCCGGGAAGCGACAGGCAGCGCTGCGACCTTCTCCCCTGTCACAGCCAGCCAAAGGGGAGGGGAGGAGGGGAGGATGCCGGGCTGCAAAGAGAAAAAAGCCTCCACGTGTCCGACCCGCCGTCCCCGGCTAATTAGACAACAACCCCGCTCTGTGCGCCCGCGCGGCAGCGGGGCCACGGACGCGGCCACGCGGCGCTACCGCCCCGTCCGGTCCGGTCCGCCGCCTCCGGGGCACCGCGGCCCCCGGCCCCTGGCGCGGCGTGGCAGGGATCGCCGTGGCCCGGGTGCGCGGCAGGCGGGCGGGCGCGGGTGACAGCTCCGGCCGAGCGCTCCGTCGGAGCCGCAGCCCCCCGCCCGCGCTGCCGCGCTCCGGCGTGTGCCGAGCGGCGTGTGCCGGGAAAAAGCTAAGCCACTCAGGCCAGAGTCGCGCTTCCAAGGGCGAAAGGGCCGCACGAATAAAGGAAACAAAAAGTCGAGGGAGCGAACCGAGTCCCCGCACCCGCCGCCCACCTGTCGCCTCACCCGGCCGAGAATGAATGAATGAATGGGACGGGACGCGCTACCTGCCGCCGCCGAGCCCGCCAGACATTGTCCCGCCTTGAGGCTGCGGGGCGCGCAGCTCCCTCGGGCTCGGCGCCGGCTCCTGCGGGCGGCGAGCACCGGCCCCCCGCCGGCGTGCAGCGCGGGGCCCGAGCGCCCCGGCGGCTCCGCAGCGCGTCCCGCTGGGCTGCAGCTCCCCCGGCGCCTCCGGAGGAGGGGAGCGCCCCGGCACCGGGGGCGGAGTACACCAGGTGCGCGGAGGACGGGGGGCTGCCCGCCCGTCCGCCGGGCGAGCCGGCTGCCTGCTGCCGCTTTCCCCTTCTCCCGTCCCGCGCCCCGTCTGACAGGCGCGGAGCGCAGCTGGCCGTCCCCCGCCCGCAGACAGCGGGTTACCTGTGCCGGGGTCTCCGGGACATCCTCGCACCGGCCGCTGGGGGAGGAGGACGGGGGAGACCGAGCCCGCGCCCGCCGCCGCGCCCTGCTGCCGGGCTGCGCCTGGGCGCTCCGCCGCCGCGCACGGGAGTGCCGAGGAGCCGCGGGAGGAGGAGGAGGAAACAGGTTGAGATTAAAGAGTAAACTCTGTAAACAGAGATGCCATCAAACAAAGGGCCCTTGGACACTCCCCCTCCCGCCAAATCTGGCGCCCCTGCAGTGCGCAGGCGCCTGGCGGGCCCGTGCCGCGGCGGCGGGGCGCGGGGCGGGCGGACCGGGGCCGCGCGCCCCACGGGGCCCTCGCGCCCCGCCCATCCCGCGCGGCAGCGGCGGGAGCCGCCCGCGCCAGCGCCGCCGCCGCTCCCGCCCCGCGGGCCCTCGACGGCTCGTCCGCAGCCCCCCCGTGCCCGCGCCCGTGCCCTGCGGCTGTCGCTGATGGAGCTGTCGGGACGGGGGGCGGCCCCTCTCCCCGGGCACGGCGGGTGGGGAAGGCGAGTCTCGCCGTGGGGCGAGAACTCTCGGGCGAGACCCCGCGACCACCCCCCGGCCCATGCAGGTGCCTCCCGCCGACGGGGGGAGGGTGGGCCTTGGCGGGTGCACCTGCTCCGCTCCCTGCGTGGCGTGCGGGCTGCAGCCCTCGGGGGCGAACAAGCCCCGCTGGCAATAGAAAGGGAACTCGGGGGGCCCCGGGGCTGCCCGGAGCTTGGCTGCGGTTGCCTGGCCGCGGGGGATTTCTGCTATAGTTCCCCTTGCTGCTGCCCGGCGTGGATACTGGCTGCCGCCGCGGCTGCGGGAGGGGCGGCGGGTGTCCGATGAGCTCCACAGAACACGTTTTTTGATACAGAAATGAGTCAGGATGTGAAAAATGGCGAAACATGCAAAGTTCCCAGGCTGCGCTGCTGCTTGAAAAAATCATGGCTTTGCAGCGGTTTCGGCGCACTCGCCTTTCCTCAAAGGCCCGCGGCTCATCAATGAGCTGCCGACGGGGCGGGCCGGGCCGGGGCGGGGCCCGGGGCCGCTCCCGAGCCCGCGGCGCCGCTGCCGGAGGGCCGCAGTGGGCTGCGGGGCGGGCCGGGCCGGGCGGGCACCGGGCACAGCCCGCGGGCAGCCCCGCACCGCCCCGCCGCGGCGCTCCGCTCCCGGGGGCTGCCGCGTAACGCGGGCACCGGGTCACCGGCTCGGGCAGTGCGGGGATGGACACGCACCGGGGCTGTCTCCCCGAGCGCACGCATCCCTTCTTGGGATCACGCCTCGGGCTAAATTAGCCAGAGGGTGCGCGTCGTTCCTGTTTTGCCCTGCCCAAGACTCCGGCAGGAGGTGCCGTGCCTACCGGCCTCTGCCCACCTGTACAATGGGTCTGCTGCACCGGGACCAGCGTTAGTGCCGAGTGAAGGGGCTTTGTACAGTGCCATGTCTGCAAAGCATTCCTCTGCGAGGAAGTGTGCATGGGGGTTAACACTAATCTGGAAAATTGAAGACTAATTCAGCTCTGTTCTACACCTTTGTATAAAATACATTTAGGCATCAGCTTGGAACAAGGCTACTCATAGCCATTGGATTTTTAAGTTGTTTTGTAGTTTGGGGTTTTTCCCCCCCAGTAAATATGTATTTGGGCAATGAAGGAAATAGGAGGCCAGAGAAAAGAAAAGAAAGATGTCTTAGTGTCCACAGTGTTGCCAGGTGTTTGGGATATTACTGTTGCAAAATCAAAACTGATAATAAACCACAGGAGTGTAAATTTTGTGTGTGTAAAATGTTCCTGAACCCTTTACCGAAAGTTATTAAGAATTTTCTGAGTACTGCTCCAACAGTGGGTGTTGCTTACATACCCAGAAGGCCCAGAGTTGGGCCTGTCATCAGTGCAGCTGTAAGGATATGACAGAATTTACTGGATCTACTGTTAAGGATATGTGCTACTTCTCTGTGATTGAAAATGCATGTTTCACTGAAGCAGTGTGGTCATTTTGCCTACTGTATCCCAGAGAGGTACAAATAAAACTGTACAAGGTTATCTCTTCCTTCTTCAGCAGGAAACACTTTCCCTTATTGATTTTTGCAAATATTTCAGTGTTAACTGAGATAAATCCAACATCTTCCCGATTTGGATGTAAATTTGCTGAATAAATGCAAAGAATGTCTATTATTGCTCTCAAGAGAGTTGTTAATATGCACAATTTTCTTCTGACAGTTTTTTTTGCAAGGCTACATTTCTTTTCCAGTGACTGTGAAGAAACACATTTTTTCATCCCAGATTGAAAAAAGGATCTACTACATTTGGTTTATAAGATGACATAAAATTGTAAATAAAACACATCTTACTGTGTTCAAAACAGAGAGGGAAATGACACCTCTGCTCCAGGTTTAAAGGTCAATCTTCCACAACTCACTCTGCATATATAAACCCCACTAAAATCAGTAAGGTGTGTGCATGCACTCCACCGAAGTTGCTTCATTCTTAGTATTTAAAATTTAGCTAGAAACAAGCCACAACTCTACTATTTTGCTTTATTTCCTGAGCATCTGTAGCTTGGGAGACTGATGTGTGAGGGCTTTTTATAATATATTCTTTGGGCCATAACCCAAAAGAAAAATCACCCTTCCACATTTCAACTTAGATATCATATGCCTTAAATGTGAAGTAGCAGACTTCTTCTTACATTACCCTTCCAACTTTATTAATTAGTGATGTCTCTGAGCCTATTTATAGTAATTGCATCAACTGACAGAGTAATTGTAAACAGTGTAACTGCATGTTCTGGAGGGGTTTTTTTCCTTACACGAATTATATAGGTAATTTAATAAAAGTAATTATGTAAATGGTAAATACAAGTTGAATTACTTGATTTCCTGCACCTCCACTACAAACATAAACCTCAAGATGAATTTTAAAAGCATGTGAAAAAAGTTTCAAGAATCCTGGTTAAACATCAAATCTGTTGATGTCAATCAAATCTATGTTGACTTCTTCCTTACTGTTTTCCTGTTGTGATCGGCTGTTCCGCTGGCATGGCTTGGGCTGAGCATTGCCAGTGTCAGTTAACCAGGCATAACCAAATGGAAAAGCAATCGTGAAGGAAGTTCAGCTGTGAGAAGAGCAGTGAGCCTGAGCACCAGGATTTTCCAAATGTACAGGAGATAGTTGCATACTTTTTTTTAGACTTTGGAAACCCTCAGCAGCAGTCTCTACCTATGTGTTCCTATTTTTTCAGTGTTTGTCACAGAATCTGCAAGGAATACTGTGAAAACAGTGTCTAACAACTTGTATGATCACACATGTTTTTGTCCTATCAAAAAATTGCCTTATAAATTGTCCTATCAAAAAAATTGTCTTATAAATTGCCACATTTCTCTCTGGTACAAATATATTTTAGAATTCAAGAAGCATTTTTATAAATGTATGCTTTTGTGTGCTTTTTTGTTTACTTTCTGCATTTCTTTCAGCCTGTGTATCATAAAACAACAAGGAACTTTCACTTTTTTAGTTTCACTTTTAGACTGTAGTTACAGTAAAGTTTCAAATGCAGTTGTGGTATTTTTATAATTGAACATAAGGTGATTTTTGGTATTTTGGCCAGAAATGTTTTTAATAAATATTATTAAGGCATCTGAAGCAAAATAAAAATGTATGTTTTCCTTTGATGTAGACTTCCTCACAAGTTCCTCATAAAAGGAGATAAGAAGGTTGATTAAAAGTTATGGGGAAGGAGACTGGGGTTTAATGCCTCTTTTATCATGTATTGAATTATGTCCAACAATGTGCATTAACATTTTTGTTCCAGTAACCTGTTCAGTGTGTGAGGGCCAGGCAGGTGTCTTCCTGAGGCATACCTGCCTCAAAGGTAGCTGAATATGTTAGCACCCAGATTTGCATGTGTTCTGGGACTCCAAGAACAGCAAACACTTAGGTGTGAGTGGCAGCCACCTCCCTGCTGAAAATGGGCATAGCCTGGTCCTGGGTAAGGTAAAAAGAAAAGGCAAGAGATGTCGGCCAGCAGGAGATGCAGCTCCCTCCACGCCATCACGCATTTTCTTGCAGCCAGGCTGCATTTTCTTGCAGCCGAGAGAAAGGGTAGGAAGCTGACTGGAAACTTTTAGCAGCTGGAAACAAGGTCTCTCCTAGGATATGCATCCCTGTGTTTATAGAAAGAAGAAGTGTTTGACTGGCTCCTACTCCAGCAGTGTACGTGGTGTAGCCTAGATCTTTAAGTCTGTACCTCTGGTTTCTGCACATGCACGTTTAGAGCCCTCTAGACCACTGTTAGCCTGATTATAGCAGAGCACCTACACTGAAAACCCAGTGTGTTCTGGTGTACAACAGAAATGAGATAGCAAGGGTTCAGACTTACCAGTTGATTGCATTATATCTTTTTCTTTATTTATTTTGAAAGTATAGTTGACCTTAGGTCAGGCAGCAATAAGAATTCAATGATAAGGTGAAATTGAATCAATTGACATTTTATAGAACTTGATGAAATTAGGATCTTGAGTGAGGGAGCAAAGGTAAACCTTACACTCATCAGCAGAGTCTCTTTTTTGTGGTAAATGCTTTTTGTTTGTGTATGGCTTGAAAGGATAGTAATGCCTGAGGCCTTCCAACTGCAAAAATAGCTTACTATAGGAACTGAACATATGTTGTACAAAAGCTCTTTTTTCATTTGTTTTGAAACAGCACGGTACAGTAGGTGCAAAAGGAGGCTTGGGGCAAGTGACACCACATCTTTGGACATCAGCAGAACCCCATGTCCAGTTGGCTGCCCGAGGATGGTGGGCTCAGTGATGTTCCAAGAGCAGGGCCTCCTCTGAAAACTAGCCTTTCCCTGTAATGCCTTTCCATGTAATTCCTCATCATCACACAGAACAATCTAATTTCCTTTTAAAACACAGTGCTAACAATAAGAAGCATTCATTGCACATATTGCAGCTTTGTCCTTTTAACCTGCAGTGGAGCACTGACATTCAAAGTAATAGAAAATTTGCTATTTGG